GACTTGGTGTTGAATCATTTCTGATTTCTTGTCTGAGTTATTGATTAACTTAAAGTGCTGTCTAACTCTTTTCTCAAAGTTCAAAGGTTCATTTCATCCAATCTGTTACTATACCGCCTTGTTCCGTATCACTACTAAAAAGTTGAAGAAGGAAAAAGAATTGTACAAAAGGAAAGTTTGTTTTGTTTCCTCTCTCTCTCTGTTATCTCTATATAGTGTGTGTAAAATATTGTTTTTGTAGTTAGTCCAATTGTTCTGTAAAGTCTGAAGAAGCTGTATTCTACAGCGAAACGTCACTGTAATGAATTTTAAATGAATCAAAAAGGAAGAGTCTTCAAATGAGTTTAAACAGTTCTATGACCTTCCTCTCTCGTAATCAACATGGCTTCTAGTACGTCGTCGGGTATAGAAATATTAAATACTAGAAATAACCCGTGGAAAACCACGGACGCCCAGCGTTTCATTCATTTTTTCATTCATTTTCCGATAACTGATTTATTAACTAATAATAATTAATACCTCATTTCTGACATCGGATTCGAGCTCAGCACCCTCGATCCCTTTTAGTCAACCCTTATCCGGAAATTCATTTTTCAATTTTTCAATAACTGATTTATTAACTAATAATAATTAATAACTCAACTCATTTCTGATATCGGATTCGGATTCCCCACCCTTGGTTACCCTCTGGTCAATCAAGTTTTAGAGTCGTTTGTGTTTTGTGTTTTACCCAATACATTGGCGCTGTTTAGTGTCTTGGGAGCGCTCCGGACAGAAGGACAGATATGTCCGGGCTATTCTTATATATATTTCAGTGGATCTCGAAATTTTGTAAACATTTGATATTAACAACAAAACATAAAGCGTCAAGAGACCGAGTGAAATTACATATGAACGTTAGCTGGTTATAGCTACGATTTATTTAGAAATTGTAGCGCAATATTTTATAATTATTTTCCATATTGTGTGTTAGAAGAATTGCAACGCTTATTTAAGGAGGGTTCACACATCCTCCATATGTTGACATAGCGTGGGCGATGATCTGAAGTGTTTGATTGACCTTCTTTATCATGTATGAAGTGCACAATTTAGGAGTAATTAAATAATTAATAATTAAATTTAATTAAGATTTTGATTTCGATGGTATTATGAAATAATTCATTATATTTTATTGGAATGTCCGATCAATGTCATTGCAGAGTTATTTTGTAGGCAGTCTTTCATTGTATATAATAAACTTTAAAAAGTCTGAAAAGTTTTCCAGCGACATAGGTTTTTTAAAGTGAAACATTGTAAAAAGTGTTTTTTCTATTTTTAAACATAAAAAGTAATTTTTTAAAAACCTTGCCAGCGATTGAAAGATTTTCACTAGTGCGGTTGTAGGCGATGTCAGTCTGCATGAGAAAAGCGGAAGGAAATTCCAAAACAAAATTTTGAACACAAGTTAAAGAAAAAATTTAAAACGTTTTAATAATCCCCTTCACTGTAACGGATGAAATAATCTTTTTTTGCAACTGAGATGAGGAGTTGCCAGTTATATTCGATTAAATAAAAACCTGTTGAACATGAGGCACAAACAGCAGTTTTTCATCCATAAAAAAGCAAATAGCTTTTACAACATTGCTGAATATTTATAGGTTTTCTAAAATCTATCTGAAATTTTCATATTTGCCAACATTTAGCAACCAGAACTCCGTATGGAGTCAAAATTCTGAGTCCAGTTCATGGATTAAAAAAGTCTAGTCCAGCCGAGTCTATGAAAAACAGTTTTTCTAGTTCAATCCAGTCCATGGACTCTGAAAAAAGTAGTCCAGTCCACAACGCAAAAGCCGGCTATTTTTTGCTGATTATTCCTCCATTCAAAAGAAGAAGAGAGAGAATCAGAGCGGTCGTTAATAATGCGGTGAACCATTAGTCAGCAAACTTCTTTTTTGAGGACAGTAAGCGAATGGAACAGTTTGCTCAATGCAGTTATTCTCCCTTACAGCACTAGAGCAATGTTTGTCACATATCTCTCCTAATTGTTGCACTTAAAATCCACTTAATACTTCTTTTTTCTTAAAATATTTTGCTGCTTTTTTCGTATTATTTTTAATTATATATCTTCATAGAATAGTATGGTGTTACAAGAGACGTCTCTCATTATGTCGGTTGATCCTCTTCTTTTTTTTTTATTTCTAATTTAGTCTTCCAGAATTTAGAGCTTTCTATAGTGAGCATAACTTTTTTTTCTCATAATTTTGCTCTGAGTGAAATCTTTTAAGTAAATACTGTGACGTGAGAAGTTTTTCTTCATCTTAATTGACAAAGAAGATCGAGTCAGTGTTTATAGTTTTTTCCTTATTTGTGCTAAATATAATCATACAGAGTGAAAGTCCATCTTAACATTGTTTTCTTTTTTTTTTCAAGAAAAATACAGCAATGTAGGAGTGAGTGAATTTTGATTACGTTGGTAGCTGTACTTTCAATGGACAAGATATCTAACAAACGTATTTGTCTCTATACCTGCGGAATCATAATTACACCATTGGTTATATGGCAGTTATTTCTCACTATTCGTTCTCTTTATGAGCTTTATGCTGGTGTACCAATAGTCTTTTCGATTCAAAAATATCCAAATACAACAAGGCGTATTTATCCAATACCTCCAGTTTGTCATCAGATGTGGAAAACCAATGATTTATCCACTTATCCTATTGCACCTTCGCATGAGACCTGGAAGAAGATGTATCCAACATGGACAGTCAAACTATGGACTGATAAAGATATTTCAAAACTGGTTTACGAGAATTATCCCTCGTTATGGGCAACATACACAAGTTATTCCTATCAAATACAGCGAGCTGATTTAGCACGATTGATTATTTTACATAGTGAGGGTGGAATTTATGTGGATTTAGACGTATTTCCAAATAGATTATCGTTGGATGCGCTTCGAAAAAATGATTTTGTTATTCCAGTATCGTCCACAGAATTATCATTGATCAATCATTTTATCATGTCTGAACGTCAATCTCCAATTCTTAATTATATGTTAGAAAATGTTTCAAAATACAATTCTTATATTATTATTCCATATCTTAATGTTTTTTGGACAGGATCAATATTTTTAACAAAAATGATAAGAGATTATATTTCATTGAAGAAAGATACAAATGGATTGGCCATTTTGAGTTCTAAACAAGTGAAATATTATATTAAGCATTTTCCTGGAAGATCATGGCATTCACTTGATGGATATATACTTAACAAAATTGAATCGAATAGAAAATTTTCCGGGGTTGTTACTCTGCTAATAATGTTATGTATGTTATACGTTTACAAAATAATAAAACGACACCGATAAAAATTCAGTACTATGTTTGAACGTAGTGTGCAACTATCAATCTCCTTTCATCATTCAAGAATAAAAAAAAACGATGTAGTAACTTATATAAGTGATGTCATAATTAAACTCAGAATTTTATTTCTAGTTAAAAAGTTACAAATAATCTATGCAACCGTTTCATGTAGTAACTCAGCTAGTTGCATCCTCATTTAACTTACGAGGGAAGCTCCAGTTTTTCAAAAACTCTAAAAGATAACCAAAACCTTTCTTAATAAGGCCTGATTGTAGCCCGCAGATTTCTGATTAAAATGATACCTTTACCAGCTCTACATGACTTTTCTTTGCAAAGTTATAGAATTTACAAGAAAAGCTCTAAATTAATTTTTTCTTTATTTCTGTAGCTTTG